GCCCTCCGGCGCTTACTTAATATCTCATTTACTATACAAAGCCCGCGGTACTTAGCTTTAATAAAAGTTAATTTATATACTAACTTACTAATACCTTTAGCTTATAAGTTAATAACTTTGTATAAATATATTAGTAAGCTATATTAATAATTATAAATCCGTTTTTTAAATAAAACAGAGCTTCGTACGGCGTCATATACTATAATTAGTATTTTTAAGTCCTAAAAGCCCTAGCTATTTAGGCGTAAATTAGATAGTATTAACGTTTTTAATTTAAAATCTAAATAGGAAATAACTACTTCTAAATTAAAAAATATAATTTTAGCCTATTTAAAACTAATTCGTACGTTTTCTTCGCCTATTAAAATAAAAAAGGCTATTTTAAAAGTAAAAAAAAAGTCGTTTTTAATAATATACGTAATTTATATTTATGTTATTTTTTCGATTTCTTTATTATATAAAGCCCTTAGTGGGCTAAAATAATTAATATTAAAAAACTAAAGCTTATACGATAAATAGGGAGGTATATAAAGAGCGATAATACTACGCTTTTTATAATAATTATTAAATTTAATCGATTTATAATTATTATAGCTATTAAAGATTAAAAGCCGCTTAATACCCTTCGTACGAAACTTTATATATTTTTTAAAATATTCTAACTAATTTAAACCGATTTTATTTATAATCTATTTATTTTTATTAAAATAAATACGCTATTTAAAAAGGAATTAACTATTAATATATTACGAAAAAAGGTAATATTTACTTTTTACAATAACGTACGAAAATAATACTTAGCTATCCATATATATACTTTAAATAATAAAAACCTATTTTTAATTACTAAGCTATTTTATATAAAGCCTTTTATAATAATTAAAAATTATAATAACCTTTATATATAAAAATATTCTTATTAAAAAGCCCGTCTTATTAAAATTATAAATATTATAATTATATATTCCGTACTTCGTAATTATATTTTATACGAAAGCAAACTAAGCTTAGATAATTATAAAATCCTTAATTAATACTTTTTAATAATCGATTCTATATCAAAAACGCGTTTTTAATTATAATTAACGTTATATAAAGTTCTTTATTTATCGCGGTTCGATATACGTCGTGTCGTATTTAATAAAAAAATAATCGGCTATATTTCGTACGTTATTAAGTTACAATGAAAATCCTTAATTAATTAAATTAATAACTTATTTAAAAATCACGGTTTCTTTTAAAAAAGTTATTTTTTTTAAATTCGTATAAGTTTTATATTAAAGTAATAAACTAGCGCGTCGGTTACGAAGTATTATTTTTAAAATATTATAAATAAAAGCTACTTTTCCTACGGATAAATTTAAGTTTTTTTTAATAATTTAAAATATAAAGATAATACGACTTTTATTTAAAAAAAAATCTATAATTATACGTAAAGAAAAATAGCTATTAAAATAAAAAGTGTAAAAGGAAAGGAAAGTGGGCGACTTGTTATAATAAGCGACTCGCTATGTATATACGTTAAATATTATAAATATTATTTTTAAGCTTTTAAACGTTTTAAACGTAAATAAAAACGAGCTTATTTAAAAAATTATTAAATTTAAAATATTTATTTAATTAATCTAAACCGTAGTCCTTATATTAAGAAACGTCGAAACGCTTAGGATAGCTTGTTAAAAAGAGAAAAGGATTAATAACCCTTAAATAAACCCTTAATATTAAAAGTATACCGGTAATTACGGGTAAAAAACTAATTATTATAGAATTTAAGAGTTTAAAAACTATATTATAAAGCGTATAAATAGTTAATAATTTAAAAATAATATTTAATAATAATAATAAAGCTAAGTATTCGGATTTAATATTATAAAAAAGGCTAAGCGGACTAAAGGTATAGTTATTAACGTTATTTTTATAAATTATATTAAAAAAGAAGTAAAAAAGAATAGGAAAAGTATATAAGCCGTTTATATATAAAAACGTACGGATTTAAGAAACGATAATAAACTTTATAATTATATATAATTTTACTAAGTAATTAAAAAACATAGAGAATAGATTTTTAAACGGCCGAAATTAAAATTTTTTATAAACTTACTTTTTTAATTAAGAGGTACGATATTATAATTATAATCTTATATATTATATATTTTATAAAATATTATAAGCCGTAATATAAAATAATTAAATTAGATATAATACGATTATTAATTAAAAAAATAATATATATTAATAATTTTTTAAAATTTTTAGAAAGCTAGAGGGAACTTTTTAAACTTTTAGACTATTTATAAAAGCTTTTTATTAAAATAGTTCGTAAGGAATTAAAAAAGTGAAAAGAAAAAAAAGTTTAAACGGTTATTAATCGTTTAAAAATACGTACGAAGCTATTTTTATTAAAATAAGTATTTATGTATAAGCTTAATTAATATAATAAATTTAAATATTATAAAGCGCGGATTTATATTTATAGCGATTTATAATTAGCTACGATTTATAATATATATATAATAACGCTTACGGTTAAGATTTTTGGATTAATAATAGCCTTAGTAGCATAGTTCGATTTAAAATTATTTTAATATGATATTATAAACGTTTTTTTAAATGTAGAAGTTAACAAATACGATAAATTAATTAATTAATAATAGACTTTTGAATAAATTTAAGATCGATAGGAAATATACTTAATTTAAGAGAGCTTTATATAGACTTTACGACGCGCTTTATTTATAATATAAAGCGTTTTTAAATATATTTAAATACTTAGGCCTACTTTTAATAACTAAGGATCTTTATATATATTAAAATCCGAATTATAAAATTATTATTATTTTTTATATAGATAATATTCTTATACTTTTTTATAAAGATTATAAATCATACGCGGCTATTATTATTAATATTATAAAAGTAATATACGAACTATAAAATAAAAGACTTATAAAATATTATTTAAAAATTCGGATTATATAAGATAAGAAAAATAAAAAGATGTATTTTATATATAACGTTTATATAGAGAATGTAGCTAAGAAGTTCGATTTTATAAATAATATTTATTTAGCTATGCTATTATTTATAAGCGATTTAGGAGTATATAAAGACCAATTTATATTTATATAAATAAAAGTATATTAAAAGAAAATAGGATCGGTTTTTTATATTTCGATATTAATATATTTAAATTACGTATAAGCGGTTTTAGCGTTATTTAGATATTTTAAAAACTTAAGTCCTAAATACCTTTAGGTAATATATTAGGTTATTAAATATTTATATAGGATACGCTATTTAGCGATTTATTATAATACGTAAAGGGGTGAGATAAGCTAAGAATTTAATTATAATATATTTTTATTTATAACTAACGATGCTATAAAAAGGTCGTTATAAAAGTATATTATAATACTTTTTAATAACTTAATTTAATAAAAGGCGTCTAAATAATTAATAATAACGACCTTTATAACTAAAATAAAACTTTCTTATTTATAAAAAACTACTAAAGAAATAATAACGTTATAAAGACTTTTTTGTAACCTCGTATTCAATCTAAAAGCCTTTTGTATAATTTATTATAATAATAAATAAATAATTAGATTAATAATAATAAATATAGAAAAAGTTTTTATACGCCTATGTTATATAAATATTTAAAATATATAGCTTCGTTAAGAGTTCGCTATTAACCGTTTAGAAATTAAATATATAGTTATGAAAAATATATTAATAAACGGTTTTATAAAAAACTTAATTAAAAAAAACTCTTAAGTTTTAAAGCTTATCTAAATTTAATAAATATATAAAGAATAGTTATAAAAAAATATAAACGTAAGAAATTAATAATTTAATTATAGCCCGAACCCTAAAAGGCGCTTATTAGAAAATAATTTACTTTATAAGGCTATACTAAATAAAAATTAATTACCTTACAAAGCTATAACGTACTTTACTAATTAGCCGCGTATATCAATTAACTACGTACTTTTTCCACAACGCGCTTTATTCCCAACCACTTAAACCTTTAATATATAATAACTTAATAACTATAATATTAATCTATACTTAAAAAAATAAAATCATTTTTATTATTAAAATGATCCGAGTTATACACACTATAAGTCAGAAATTTAATATATAACGTATTATAAAAATATATAATATTTTTAAAAGTATTTTATATAATAAAATAAATAATCGATTACGCCGCGACTAAATTTAATTTTAATAACATAAACTTAATCCGATCGAAAAAAAAAATACTTATTTAATATATTATTAAATAAGATTTTGAAAGATTTCTTTTACGATTTCTAAATATAAAAAATATAATTAATCTCTTATTTTAAATATTAAATAGGACGCTCGTTGAAAAATATTAAATTAAGAGGTTTATTAACTTATAGCTAATTTTAAAAACTAAATTTAATCGTTTATATAATTATTAAAAGGCCTTTTAAAAAGATCTAAAAGTTATTTTAAAATAATTCACGTTATTAAATAATATAATAACTAAATACGGTATTAATAACGAGGATTTATATAATTTCGATAAAACTAGCTTTATAATAAACATTATTATCGAGTTAATAATCGTTACGTATATTAATAGACGTAAAAAAGCGAAATTTATTTAGCTTAATAATTATAAATAGGCTATAATTATTAAATATATTAATTTAAAAAAGTAGTATATCCCGCTTTTCGTAATCGTTTGAAAGTTTTGTTATTTTATTATTTAGTTAATAGAATTTAGTTTCTTAAGCGACTAAGTAATTAAGCCGATTATTAATAAATAGATTAATAATAAAACTAGCCTAGATTAGATTAAGTATTTCAATAAATATACTTGGGCTTATATAAAGGGTATTTATTAAATATTTATAATCGATAAATATAAAAGCTATTTATTAATTAAATTCGACGAATATTATAAACAAAATAATATTATAATTATTAATATACCCCCGTATTTATTTTATTTATTTTAGTTATTAAATATTACATTTTATTTGCTTTTGAAACGCGTATATAAGGATAAAATTAACTTATTTATTAAATTTTTTATTAACTATATTATAAAATCCGAGTTTTTTATTACTTTCCGTAAGGCTTATAATAAGATTTTTTTAAATAAAAATATTAAATCTATTTTTTATAGAGTTAAAATTTTATTATAAGGCCTAAATTATATAATTAAAAAGCTCGATATATATATATAGACGCTTATACCTTTTATAACCGACCCCTTAATAATATTAGTTTAGTAATTATAAACGCTTTTTAATTATTATAAAGCGCTTTTATAATTTAATTTTATTCAAACTCGGACTTTAGCTTATTAAAAAAGCTTTTTAATATTAATAATTAAAATAATTAATTAATTAAAAGGTATATAAATAATAACGTATTTCATTACGATTTTAATAAATTAAATATATATATTTTAAAATATTAATATAGCGTTTATTAAACGCTAAAAAATAAAAAGGATACGTATTTGGTTTAAAAAAGTATTTAATATAAAAAAATCTTAAATTATATTAAAAAAAAAGGTTAAAAAGAAATGTTTAATATCTTAAAAAAGTAAAAAAAAGGGTTTATTAAAAAAAAGTCGGTCGGCTTAATGGTATTATAATATATATAATAAGATAAATTATAAAATATAAACGTATTTTAAAAATATAAAATCGTTTAATAATTTAAATATTAATAAAAGTTAATTAATATTTTACGTCGTAGTTATATAAATTTATAAGATATTTAAAAGGTTAAAAAAAGTGCGTAGTTAATTAATATACGTAGCTAATTAGTAAAGTACGTTATTAAAAAATAAAAATAATAAAAACGAAAACGATAGTTTTAAAAAGCGTATTTAATTATTATTATTAACGGTAATATAAATAAAAAAGCTTTTTTTAATAATATTAAAAATATAACGGCCTTTAATAATAAAGTTAATAAGATATATAAAAGCGTTATTATTATTATTTTATTAAAAAAAACTATTTATAATAATAAGCTTAGCTTTTTTTTTAATTTTTTTAAAAGCGAGAGAGGATTTAAAACTTTTAGTTTTATAAATAACGGAGCGGGCGTAAATAAAAATTTAATATTATTAATTAAAAGCTTATAAAGCGGATTCTTAAAGACTTATATAGGAATTAACAGGGGGGTCGTTAATTAAAAAGCTTATTAAATAAATTATAAAAGGGTGGATATTAAATAAAATAGTAATATAAATATAACCGTTTTAAAAGTGTTTAACGTATTTATTTTTAATATAAAAGGCCTTTTTTATAACAATAAAATATATATAGTATACTTTAATACTTTTATTAAACTTTGTTAAAATAAAATAAGAAATATAAAAAATAGGATTTAAAATATTAAGCTTTTTTTTATATTCTTTTTTATTATAATAGTTTTGTTTTTAATTTTATTTTTAAATATAACCGTAAGTAAGGCCGTATCGATTTTAAATTTAATTAAAAATTTAGCCGTTTTAATAAAGGTAATATAAATATTAATACTTTTTCTTTCTTATAAACTATTTAAATATATTAAAAATAATATTTTAAAAAGTTTAAAAAAAGGAAAATTTATAAATTTTAGTAACGGTTTTTTTAATAACGTTATTAAAAGCGGCTTTATAGCTCGTTTTTTTAGCCTATTATTCAAGTTATTAATATAAAAGCTTTTTATTTTTAGAGTCGGTAATGAAGAGATTATTAAATTTTTTTGATTTTTCCCCCTTTTTTATTTTTTCTTTAAGGTCCTTAAGGCTTTTATCAATAAGTTTATTAGCCTTTTTTTTAGTAGCGGCTTTAGCGGCGATATTAGCGGTTTTTTTAATAGCGGCGGTATTAATAATATATTTAGTAGCGGCGGCGGTACGAATAGCGGCCTTCTTAGCCTTAGCGGCGTAGGCGGCCTAGGTATGCTCGGTAGCGCCTTTTTTAATAAGGGTAATGTTAGCTATTATATATATATATATATATATATATATATATATATGTATATGAGTATATGTATATTTATATATATATTTATATATGTATATATATATTTAATTATTATATTATAATTTATTAATATTAAAAAGGGGTTACGTAAAGCTAAAAACTAGCCTAAAAGACTTATAAAAACGATTTATAAAAAAGTTTAAAAAAAAAAAGATTTATTAAAAAGGTAAGTAATAAAAAAAAAGTATTTTTATTATTTATTAACCCGCTTAGGTAATAGCTTAATGATCGACCTTATAATAATTTATTTATTAATAAATACGTAAAATAATAATAATAATACGTTTATATAAATATATTATAACGTTATTATTTATAAAATAGCGTAGGATTATTATTTTTAATAAGTTCTTTTTATTAAACCTAATTTCTTTTATTAATTATTTTTATATTTATTTTAAAAGGATATAAAAAGGATTTGTATATATAATTTAGTTACGAATAGTTTTATAATTAAGGGGGTATATCGTAAGAGGTTTAGTATATAGTTATATATAGCTAAGGTAGTACCTGCTTAAATACGCTTATTAACTTATTTTCTAAGCGCTTTTAGATAGTATATTTATTTAATTAATTTATAAAATATTTTTTTTAAAAAGATAAGTATTTTAGATTATAAGAACTATGTTTCTACGCTCTTAGCCTGTAATAAAAAATAAAAAATAAAAGAAATTATAAATTAATAAAATTTTAAAAACTAAGTATATTATTTAGTTGAATAAGAAGGTTAGTTAATAAAATATAATATCTAAGAGCTTTTGTTATATTTAATTAATATAATAAGAAAATTTGAAAGTTTAAAAAATAAATATATAAATCTTATTATACTTAAGATAATTAATAAACGGTGCGCGGTTAAAAATAATCATACGATAAAAATAGTAAATATACGCCGGTATTATAATAAAAAGAAACTTTTTATAATATTAAAAATATAAAAAGGTCTTTTTATTAGTTAATTAATCGATTTAAGTTAAATGATAGGATACGGCGATATTTATATTTATAAGTAATATTAATATTAATTTTAAAACCTAAGGTAGTAATATAACAAACTTACGCCGATATATTATTAAATACCTAATATATTATATTATTTTATTTAAACATTACGGCGAGCCGTTAAAAATAATTAATATAATTACTAACAATAATATATTTGTTTTAAAAGAAAAGCGTAATAATTAATAAGATAATAAATGCTACCGGTATTTTGTTTTTAAATATATTAAAAAGAATTATATTAAGTATAAAACGCTAATTAAGGATGAGCGAAATAAAAGCGTTTTTGTTTATAGATATAATAAAAAATATATTAAATATATTAAGAAAGTATATAATAACCCAGTATTTCTTAAAATAATTACTTAATAATGTAATAATAATAAGAGTTACGATGGTTTTATTTAATTTGTTAGGGGATATATTACGATTAAGGTCAATATTTAAGGGCGGCTTAATAAAATTAATAAAGCGGTGCTTAATGAAAGTTTTAATAATAAGGTTATAAAGATAAGGCAAAGAGGGATTTCTTTTCTAATTTTCTTCATGAAATTTTTAATGAGTTTTATAATTAATATAAAACGCTCGGCGGAATTAGATATAAATATAAACTTTTTTTTAAAAAAAAAAGATATAATAATATTATTAAAAACGATAATATTAAAAACAATAACGTTAAAAATAAGTATATAAAAATCGTTATTATAAATGTTACCGAAATTATTAAAAACAACGGAAAAGGGCCGTGAAATAAACCGGCGAATATTTAATAAAAAATAATTATAAAGACCGATAATAAAGCTATATTAAAATAGGCTATTAACGCTTTAATTAAAAAAGAATTAATAATAAAGCCGGCGGAAGTATTACGGAGGCTTAATTTACTAAATTTAGCAAAGGATACTTCGTTATTAAATAAATCCTTATTATTAAATATAATTTAATTAAACGATCTTATATTAAGGGCCTTATACTAACGCTTAGGCGCCGGCTTTTTAGCGATGATATTACTTTTAAAATTAAACTCTATCTAACGTTTTATAAATTTCCAAAAGGTTTAAATATAAATACTATAAAAAATAAAAATAGAACTAATAATTATTATAACGTAAATTAGAACTAAACTACTAAAGTAATTAATAATAATAATATAAAAATAAGCTTAAGTTTCAAATCGCGATAGTAAATAAATATTTTTGTTTTTAAAGTTTTAAAAATAGAGTTTACTAGCGACGAGTTAGTTAATATTTTTATATAAAACGGAAATATAGTTATTATTTTAAAAATAAATTAGCTAAATAGAAACGAGCTAATTATTAATTTTCTAAAAATTAGTTATTATACTAGCCTAGGTATTAATTACAAATAAATATACACGGGGACCTTATTAAATAAACTTAGAAATATTTAAATTAAAAATATTAAGTACTTTTTAATAAATATCGTTTTTTAAATTATAATTTACTCAAGGTACGCTTTATTTATGCCGAGAAAAGGATTTTTAATATAAATATTAATTAAACTTTATATCGAATTTAAAGTTTTAAACGTATTAAAAATACGTTAATGCGTTTAAGAGGGTGGTTTTTTATTAATTTTAAATTCGCGGAATTTTATAAATTAATTATAAATTGTTTAAACGGCGCTATAAAGTTTAATAGGGATTTAGGCGAGTTAATTAGTAAATATATAGAAAAAAAGAAGCGAGGATAATTATATTATAAAATATTGTTTTTTTCAAAGAATGAGTAATATACTTCTTTATATAATCTTTATAAATATATATAAGTTTTTTAATATCATAATAAAAGAATGTTAAATAGCCGAGGTAAAGAATATTATTATTGAAGCCGGCAAAGCCGCTTTTAAAATCATAATTTTAATACATAATTTCAGCAATTTATAAAATAATATTTATTATGATAATAATAATAATAAAGTAAATTAATTAAAATATAAAATTATATAGACGAGCGTTAAAAAGAAAGGTTTATAATACTTTAGCGAGACTTAAATATAAAAGAGAAATAATAATATAATAAATAAAAAGATAAAAAATTAAATTATAGGAATAAATATATTATTTTTATATAATAGTGACCGTATATTACCGACTTATTATTAAAAAAATAATAACAAAAAGAATTATAATA